TCATTTTCTTATTCAGAATCTGCACATTTCGTTGCAAGAAAAGAATGCTACCGGGCTAGCCTTCACAAGGAGCTCGTTGAAGCATTGAGCCAATGACTTTGATTCCAACTTTGAGCTCAACCAAGAAATGGATTTGCATCATTAATTTGTGAAGTTTAGGCTCAAGTCTAAGGATGGGTTTAAAGGAAAACCAAATATTTTTAAGAAATAAACTTAACTGAACAGATATTGATGACCAGAATGGAGTGCCAATATGATTAATTATTGTTCATTATATTGTTCATTATTAATTATTGTTATTTCATCACTTATTAAATAAAACTCTAAAATATAATTTATTTTATTTTTTAATATAATTTTTTATTTGAAACCTATTTGTACTTAAAACTTGCACAAATCCATTATTACATTGTATTTATTAATATAATTAGTTAGAATGGGGTAATAAGATTTTTGATTTCATGATTATTTGATCTTCAAAGTTCTGATATTATATTAAATAATTATCTCAATCCAAAAATTTAAATCAATAGACGAAACTCAATATGATTTATATTATTGATTTAGTTAGGTTTGAAATAACAGATGATTCTAACTAGTCAAGTGTAGATTTGCCATAATAAAATATAATAATATACCCTAAACAGATTATATAGATCGCCTAGTAGATATATTTATAAGCCAATTACATAGGTATAGATCATAAGGAGGTCTGATCACATTAGACCAAAATAATAGGTCAAGTAGACCATAATTTTTTATTTAATTATTGGATCATACTTAAATTTTTACAAGAGATTTCAGAGGTTAATTTTTTTTTAGAAACCACAATGTTGCAATGTGAATTGTTAAATCTTTAGATATCAAAAATCTCGTTCAAACCTTTGGTTTTGATTATTTTGTTGTTTTCCTTGTTAATTTTGAGTTTCATGCATTATTTTGGATTTTATCGTTATTTCCTTTGTAGTTTTATTTATGATTTTTAATTGAGATAGGATTTCTAATTTATTTAAGATTCCGCAAACCTTTTAAAGATGCAAACTTTATTATTATTACTTTTAGAGATAATAAATCTATGAATTTAAAGTTCATATCTATAACATTTTATTTAAACTAATAATTACTTATTAAAACTTTAATATTGTATTTTTAATAGAATAAAATAAAGTATTTCCTACCTATCGAAAACAATCCATCCTACCAAGCCCTTATTCCGCTAAAAGACTAAGATCCGGATTGCCGTAGATGTAACATGGAGCATTGAGCAGCGGACCAACGATGGAGTCCCCATTCCTACCTTCTTATCCTTGTGCTTTGATCACTACGGTATAATTTACCATTCCCCTAAGTTCTTTCCTTATTTCCACCCTTGCTTGCCAAGCTTTTTGTAGGTCCCCTGGTAGATTTCTTAGCGATTGCAGTGGAAACAAAGACTTAATGAAAAAGGTTTATCTTATTCATATGAAATCGGAGTTGGGATGCTGCTAAGTTGGCTGCCATGAAGTTTATCCATAGGTTTGGAAAAACCTTGAACATTGAGCTTGAGTAGCTGGTTACCTATGTCTTCAAGATGACGTATAATGTGAAACCACATAGTGCGGTTGTATCAAAATGGAAAACTCTGCCACCCATTCTCGATTAAATCGGATATGCCACGCTCGAATGTTTATTCCATACATGCAGCTGGCAGATGGATTGCGTCCAACAACATTTTAATTCGTTTTTCTTGGGTAGTATTGTTATAGTGTTGATGTTTTCTGCTCCAGAGGCTCCATTTTTCGAAGGATTGTTGATTCTGCTGGTTGGTATTTAATGTTAATTTGAGGGCACTGGAATTCATTGCGGTGATTCTGCTGTTAGTGTTTTGTAATGGCATAAAGCTGATCAGTAGTTTTGCTTTGGTCTTTTAGACTTTCATGCCTAGTTATGGCTCCTCAAGCTAGTTCTGTTTGGTAGCTGTCAATATTTTTTTCTGTGGCTTGTTATATCGATCCATTCAAACTCTTTATCAGGCACACAACCACCTTCTGCCCTTCCTATAGCAGCATTGGTTCTCAATATTCTTGAATAGAAAACAAAAATATTGAGTCGTAATTAATGGCTTGGAGTTTCTAAATCTGTTGAATGATGGTCATCAGAAAGGGCTAGAATTTACTTGTATATTTTGTTGTCCGTGCTGTACTGAGAGCAAAAAATAAATAAAACACAAATAAACTAATTTATGTAGTTTTTTAAAATTGAATAATTGTATATTATTAAAAAAATGATAGAAATACTCAACTCAATTTAGTACAATCCTATAAAACCCAGTATTTTACTCTTACACTCTGTATTTCTCTCGAATCTTTCTCACTTTCACAGTTACATTTACTTGCACTCACCACACTTTTTATGCACACACTATATATATCACTCTCTCGTTTCTATCTCTATTTATAGAAAAAAAATAAAAACCTTGAGAGCAACCCATGTATAACCTAATAAATATCAACCAACTATTACCTACTACAATAATAAATTTATGGTGATTAAAAAATAATTGATAAATTTGCTATGTATTTTGGTCAGAAAACTTAGATAACAAGGTTACTAATATGAAAGGATGTTATAATTAAGGTGTTTTGATGGTTTTATTTTATAAAATCATCTATTTGAGTACTATATAAATTTTTAATTTTTTTTATTTAAGTTCTTTACAGGTAAAAAATGATGAGTATTCATTACCAACACTTATATATTTACATTTTTACTATTATTATTCCGTGAAGAATTAAATTGTAACGATAGATTAAAATATTTTCATATTGAAGTGGGCCTCTAGAATCATCTAGGATTCAATGGTCAAATTGAAAGTCATGAGTTTTTTTGTACACACTTGTTTAGTAGTTTTTTTTATCTAGTTTCACTTGTATATAAATGAGTTAGCTAGATTTTCTGCCCCATTCACTAGTGAAAAATCCATGAACTATCCATAACTTATTAACTCCATATACCATTTCTTTAATTCCTCCTTTATGCAATGCAAACATGCTGGCTCTTTGGAGGTGTTTGTGATGAAATTGACGAGTATGCTAGCTAGACGGTTTTTGTTCTCTGGATGATGAAATTGGCTCTTTTAGGGCATGCATCCATCTCTTAAATTGGGAGTCAGTCATTTCTCCTAAGTTTAGACGTGGTTCGGGTCTTCGTATGGCAAGAGATAATAACATTGTGATGTTGAGGAAAATTGTTTGGGCACTCCTCTCCTCCATTCAAAAGGCATGGAGGATCGCTAGTACTGATTGCGGAACAGTGCATGTCATCATATTACACATCAAAAGCATCATGGCGATCACCATGATTCCCATCCATGCAATCCCAGCGAAGGTTAAAGTTTTCCATGATCAGAGAAGCTAGAGTTCAGAGAACGAACTTTTCTTGATCAAAGAGAGTGAAGGTTCTTGATGAAGATAAAGTTCTTGAACGAGGGAGAATGAGAAGGGAGAAGAGGTTTTTTGTTAAGAGTTTGTTAATGAGATGGTAAGATCAGATAGGCTTATACATGAGTGTTTGTGGAGCAAAACAATAGAAGGGAACTTGAATATCGACAATTTCAGCATTGAAAATATAGGGCAATTTTTATATATGCAATGCAGTTTCAAGAACACGACAGACCGAGAATATTTATAAAAAATAATAATAATAATAATAAAATTATGAGAGTTGAATTTTCGATATTGTAATTTTATGTACACGGGTTGAAGGTTGTGGCTAAATTACTCGTTTTTTACAAAATACCTTGGGCTCTCTTATGACTCTGACCAAATCTGACTTGACTCAAGGCTTAGATAGCAAGCTGGTCGGGTCAACCAGTAGAGTGGTAGGTCAATATATTTTTTTACAAAAACAATATAGTTTGGATATTTTAAAAATAAAATAATGTTATTTTTTTTTGTTTTTTAAATTAAATTATATCATTTTAAATTTTTTTCTAAATAAAACGATGTTTAAAAAATATAATTCGAAATGAAACTCAGCTTCGGTTTGCTCACCTAAGTTAGATTTTACAACTTTGTCTTGGGTGCTTCTTAGGTAGAAAAATATAATGGCAAATCTAAAACAGTCCCCCAAGTATGCATGTAGTCTCCATTGATGAATCTCTAAACTTTGTTTTCATCTCAATTAGATACCCATTAATCTTTCATTGAGCTCATATATTCCATTCAAATTTAGGTTTTCCATTTAAAAAATGTTTCTTTTTCGTTAAAAACAGCTTTGAAGAATTTATACGGAACCTTAATTGAGAACTAATTTTTCAATGCTTCGGGATCCAATTGAGCTTTTCACCATACAAGTTTCTTCTCTGATTTTCAACTCTTGAAAGTTGGTGTAGATCATAAGTAATACTTAAGAGGGTATTTAAAAGCGTGGTTATTGTAATTTTTTTAACATATTTTTTATTTAAAAATATATTAAAATAATATTTTTTATATATTTTAAAAATTATTTTTAATATCAGCATATTAAAATAATATAAAAAATAAAAATAAAAATATTTTTAAAATACAAAAACAAACCTAACTTAAAAAAAAATAAAAAAAGAGTAGAAGAAGCAAGAATCAAAACAGGATGCCTTTACTCCATCTTCAAATGACACAAGGTAAACCATAACACCCAAGGAAGCATACAAAGGGAGTCCCGAAAACTGCTACTGAATAGAAGAACAACAGGAGCCGGCATGACTAGCCATGAAAGTCTAAAGACCATAACCAAAAACTAACAGCAGAATAGGTTAAGCATGAACAAAAAGAACTCCAGTTCCCACAAACATCAAATATTACCAACCAGTAGAATCGTCAGTCCTATGAATTCTGAGATCCTGGAACTGCAAGTGCAAAGAAAACAAAAAAAAAATGTAAAATTTTCACCCAAGAACTAATCTTTAAACAACTGATCATGCGTAAGTTTTGAACCATGAATAAAAGAATTTTTACAGAATGATTAAAGAATCAATACCTCTGTTAGGATCGTTCAGGAATGGAGAGCCGAGCTGCCAACTTGTAGGCAAAAAAGCAATCTAGGGCTGCATACATTACTTTATCAAGAGGAAGTGGAACCAGCCTCCAGTTGCTTTTAAGAAGGTCATCAGGTTTTTTATACGACTTCGAGAACTCAATGTATACCATATCTTGTAGAGGCGAATGGAAATTGAGACGAAACCTGTTTGGATCCAACACAGTGGCCAAAAACGGGATCTCATACCAGTGTTCCATCTTCACTTCAAGATTGTGTGTCTTACGAAGATAATTGACTTTCTCAATCAATCCAAAACAAACAAAATCTACGCAACTGTGATTCAAGAAATTCTCTAGTGAAGAAGTTGGAAAGTTATCCGGAGGATAAACATGATAGATGATGCAACAACTCTCGTGACAGAATTGAAGGGTAGCAGGAGTTTTGAGTCGGCCATCATCACAGTATTTGTCCCAAATCATGTCCATAGAGACCCTAAGCCTGTTGCCACGATGTGGTAGCTTAGTCCCAAACAATTCAGCAATCCACCTCAAGAGGCTTGTAGGATTATTGACAATGGTTGTGTAACAGAGCATGTCGTCACATTTCACGTCAAAAACATCATCTCCCCCAATATAATTCCCCCCCTTGTGATTACAGCGAAGTTCAAAGTTTTCCATAATCAGTAAAGCTGGAGTTTAAAGAATAAGGAAGAGAACGAAGAGGAAGACAGTTTTTTTTTTATCAAGAAATGACTTCTTGATCAAAGAGAGTGAAGGTTCTTGGCCGAGAAAGATAGTTTCTTGATAATTAAATTGAAAGTTCTTGATTAAGAGGGTTGTTCTTGATTGAAGAAGAATAAGAGAAAGGGTAATGATAGGCAGAGAGGAGAGGAGAGGTTTTTGTCAATAAGTTTGTTAATGAAATGAAGAGATCAGATAAACTTATATATGTGGTTGTGGTGCAAAACAAGAGAAGGGGGAGCTGCAATCAGTTTCAGCATCTGCAAATACTGTGCAATTTGTGTATATGCAAAGAAATTTCAAGCACACAAGTGAGAATTGTTGGATTTTGGATGTTGTCATTTTACATGTACATTGGACAGCTTCCGTTAAATTTCTCTTTTGTTTTACTAGGGTGTTTCATGAGAGAATACCTCTGGGCATATTAATGAAACCTGGCCGGCTAATGACCAGTACAAGGTTAGGGTTATAGTTCTGAGCCAATTAAAATAATATTGAATTGATTTGTCAGATCAACATGGAACCAAATCTACTCCAGGTTAAAAAAAAATTACACTTGACTCGAGTCAAGAGGGAGATCAGCTAGATCTCGGGATAACCTATCAAGCCAAATTTAATAATCATGTCTTTGTGTGCTTCTTGCATAGAAAACTTAAATGGAAAATCTAAAATGACCCCAAGCTATATAGGTAGGTCGATTGAGTCTGTAAACATTGTCATCACTTCAAGATTGTGTGTATTCCGAAGATAATTGACTCTTTCAATCAATCCAGATTGTGTTTCAATAATTTTTCCAGAGAAGACTTTGGAAAGTTATCTGGAGGTGAAACATGATAGATGATGCGAAGACTCTCGTGACATAATTGAAGGGTAACAGGAGTGCTGGGTTCTTCATCGTCACTGAATTTTTCCCAGATCATGACAGGTTCGGCTAAATAGCTTTTTTATTATTATTATTACTACTCAAGTTTTTCATGAGAGAACACCCTTGGGCATACCGATGAAACCTGTCCCACTCCATGACCGATCCAAGATTTGGGTAATGGATTAGGCACGGTAAAACTCAAGTTAATACAGATGAATTAAAACAATATCACTAGTCTGTTGGATCCTCAAACTTCCATAAATTCTCAGTTGAATCCACCCAATCTCCTTCATAATCGCTCATGTTGTCTATAATTGTCTATAGTTGTCGTTCTCGGTTCGAGATTTAGATTTGACCTAATTAAAAAACTAGATCAGTTTGTTGAGTCAATAGTGTTATTTTAGTGGTTTCTTTTTTAAAAAAAAATATGTAACAGAGTTATTTTGAAAAAAAAATTAAAAATCTTTTGGATAAAAATTAAATAAAAAAATAATAAAGTTTACTTAAATCTCACTCGAATTTAAAGCCAACTAAATTGTGAGACTAGCCGGATCTTCAAAGTTTGATTAGATGAATATCCAAATCAGTTTTTTCAAATAAAAAAAAAACCGTTGCCTGAACTAAATTTGGAGTCAGTAAATCAACAGATCAGATCGGGAAAGGTTTCACAGGTCGATAATTCACATTTTAGGTTTTCCATTAAAAACAAAAGACATTTTTTTCATAAAAATGATGTGGACAATTCACATTGTTGGGAAAATGATAGTTCTTATGCACTATCAAGTACAAAGAAATGAATTTATTGAGGCCTGTGGCTGGATCGGCAGCCAGTTGAAAAGGTCAGGTCTGTATCCATTCAACTCCACAGAGCCATACCAATTTTTTTCCAATTTTTCTGTACATATTCTTTTGCGTGGAGCATATTAGGCTGAGGTAAATGAGTTGAACTACTCTAGCAATAGCAAATATTTCTAGGCAAAATATCTCACACTCGACAACTTGAACATATGGCCATGGATGGCATCCAGAATAGAAAGCACCATTATTGAGCAGAGCAGTTTCGCATCTAAAGATGATTTCATTGTTTTTTCTTTTCAGTATCTATCAAAATATTGGAAGACAGCCTGAAAGATCCAGTTCAACAACACTATCACACATCAAAACAAATAGAAATAGGCACAGAAAATTAAATAAACCAGTTGAAACAACATTCACCACACATTGAAATACTTCAAATTTAAAAGTCATCCAAGTTAAGTACATAATCTTTAAAAAGAACTAAAAAACCCTCAGATCCCATCATGAAACCTAACTCAAGCAGCATACAAATTCTCCCCAATCTTGTAACACAAAAAGGCATCGAGACAAGCATATTGAACTTGAGCACCAGTAAGCCACTCATTGTCCCACCTGCTCATAGTAACCCTTTTTGGCTTCTCAATCTGCTTCCCCAAAATCTCCTTCACCAACGATTTTATCCCAGAATTCTTCCACTTCTCAGCCCCCAATTTCTCAGCAGCCAAAACCCTTAAATCCACAGCATTCCCCATACTCACATCATAATCCTCCACTAACTTCTCCACATCACCCTCAATACCAACCCCAACAAAAGTATAATTCTTGTTACTCAAAAAATCATAAAGGGATTGTGGGATACCAGTGGGACAGTGCAGGAGTTGAAAGATCAAGCAGTCTTTGCCAGTGGAAATTTGGAGGGTGGCAACTGGGTTTTCGGTTTGACGCATCCTATTGGGCCTCCACTCGATGTCTAGGCCAACTAGAAGGGGATGATCAGCAGGGTTGTTGTTTTGGTGGAGCTTTTGTTGGGTTTCGGCTATCCATGTGTTGACAAAGGAAGGCGTGTGAGTGACTAAAGTACGGATCTTGTCATCGAAGAAGTTGACATCATAGAGGTTGTGTGTATTGTATGGGAGTTGGTGATCTTCAATGCTGATTGCCATGGTGGTGGTGGTGGTGCTGCTGCTGCTGCTGGGGGTGGAATCGGCCGACGAGGATACGATTGTGGATGGCTGACGAGGAGACTTTAAATGGTCCAGCAACCTAAAAGCCCTGAGCCTATTTGCCTATTGGACATTGGTCATAGTCACAATTGCTTTTTTTTGTCTTTTTTGTGGATTAAACTTCATTTTAAACCTTATAGATTCATCAATATTTCACTTTTATCCTTATAATTTAAATGTTTTTCAATACTGCCTTTCTCGTTTATAAAAGTCACACAGATCATCATCCTTGTCATTAAGTAGCCTACTTTTAAAATTATTTTCGATTTTTTTTAGGATTTTGAATATTATGTATAATTGTCAGGGTCAGTTCAAGGAGTGATCCGAAAAAATCTTGATTATTGGATTAACGCATGAGTCACCAAATCAAATTAGGTAAATTATTTTTATTAAAATAACATTATTATAGGGATAAGAATACGAAACTTTAACCTATGAAGATAAAAGTGGACATTGACGTGTCTACGAGAATAAAGAAAAGAATAAATACTTTGCTTTGTGTTAACTGCCCGATTGCTTTATGTTTAAAAATTGTTTTAGAGTACGGTTGTTTCTTAAATAATTTTTTATATTAAAATATATTAATAATATTTTTTTATTTTTTTAAATTTATTTTTAATATTAAAATAATTTTAAAATATAGTAATTTTAAAAAAAATAAATTTTTTTAAAAATACATTTAAAACTTAAAAACAAACCTGTCTTAAAATAAGAAATGGATTCTAAGATGGTCGTATATTGGGCTTCTTCCATCAGCATATGTTGATGCTTTTGTTCAGTGATTTAAAAATATCAATTACATGATGTGACATTATTTAATAAAGAATTTAAATTAAAAAAAGAGGTTAAATATATCAAACCTTATCCAAAGTATAAACAAAAAAACAAGGCATGCCATTAGTACATCAAATATAAAACTGGATAACATTAACGTTAAATTATGAGATATTTTAATGAAAGAATAACATTTAAACTTTATAATACTTTGAGGGAAAACTATCTTGAATAATTTAAAAGGTGAATTTAAGGTGTTCATGGTCCAATTCACTTAATTTAAATTAAAAATTCCAACCAAACCAAAAGATATTATTTTTTAAATAAAAAATAATTTAATTAAAATCTGTTAGACTAATTTTTCAACATTAAAAACTGGGGAACCAAACAATGCCTGTAAAGTTTTGTTATTTTTAATTATATATTTGAAAATCAAACTATATAATTTCTTGCTCAGAAACATATGAGAAAAAATATATATATATATATATAACTTTGTTAACCACAATAATATTCATTAAGTATTTTTAAATTACATGAGAAGAACAGAAATTAAAGTAAAAAAATGGACAATAATATCAATTACAGTAGAAAGAATCAACAAGCCACCAAAAAAATGAATTTATCATCCTTACATTAATGTGTTGTACAATAAAAACTAAACTTTTAAAATGAATTTCGTTGATACGTTGAGATTGAAGTTAAAAATCTGTTTATTTTGAAGATAATTTTTATGATTATAATTTTAATAAAATGTATATGTAATTGTAATTGGTTAGATTTAGATATAAATTTAGTAAAGATTATGATTAAAGTTTACATATAAAAAAAAGTATAGTATAAATTAAGGTGAGGTTTTGAGAGGGCAGAGCGAAAGCCCAAGTTAAGCATAACCGCGTCAACGCTAGAGATGGTGGGCTATATATAGGTAAAGGGAGATAAAAAGTGGGGATGGATTGCGTCTTCATGAAATTAAAAATAAAAGGAAGAAGAAGATAGAGATGCTGCTACATTATTTTAACTTTCAAGTTTGATCATGGAAAAGCAAGAGAGATGATAAGAGGAGGGGTGGCTGCTGTCAAACAAAAAACAAATGGAAAAAGAATAGCTTAGGGTTAGGTTACGTAAGCTATTTATACATTCTTTTCTGTTTAAATTTCACTTAAACAAACTCACTTTACTTGAGTTTTACTTGAGTTTAGTTTAATTGGTTTTTTAGTTTTTAAATTATTTTTGTTATGTTTCCTTTAATTTCAGTGATTTTTTTTTTTTTCAGT